AAATTATATTAAAAAATAAAAAAATCATCTTAAAATCATTTTCATCATGTAAAGCGGTAACCTAACACGAGTAAAGTCATGTTTTTTGCCCCTTTCCGGTGGGTTTATTTTATTTTATTTTTATTTTTACAGGGCCAAGATTGTAAGTGGTGGATTGATAGGGTAATCACAGCCATACATATATGGAAATTATTTGCATTTTTTTTTTTGAACAAGTAGTACAAGTCTTTGTGGGTTAGGGAATCGGCTGGATGGCTGAAGCTCCACCTCTTCTCCCAAACGTCCTAGAAAACCAGATGCCTGAGTCGGAATTAAAAGATCCGGATGCTGGTATTAATAATATTGATGACTTCCTTTGCGGGGAGACGGTGTGCCTCTATGATTGTTCAGAATGATGGGCATCGGTGGGCCTTTCTAGGAAGTTGCAAATTATTTGCAATTATGATACACATAACAGGACAAATTAATTCACCTGATTGGACATTTTGATTCTGTTCCTTTCACCTGAATTGTAACGTTGGATTGACAGCTATTCTTGTTTCATTGAGAAATCAAGGAAATCAGACTCGACATTTTCACTAAAATCTCATGGAAAATTATTTGAAACAATTTTGTGTTTATGGCAAAGAAAAATAATCGGTTTTCTCAAGGGGAGACGATTCTTTTGCAAACCTCTAATCTCCACTTAAATGTATGATGCATTAACCAAAATTACATGAAGATGAATTTAATTGTATGACTTCCAATTGCTAGTAAATGATAGTTTTAAGAATTAGATTTGCATTAAATAAGTTTAATATTTAAATTTTAAATGTATCAAAATTAATGTAAAGAGATGTGCATCTTTTATATACCAAAAAAAAAAATTTTAATTGTACAAAATTTAACTTGAAAACACTATAACCAACTAAATTTTTTTTTTAAAAAAAGTTCTCATAAATAATTGTTACATATTCTATCATAGATAATAAAAAATATAGGAAGGAAGATGGTATGTCGATGTCAAGCATGGATATGGTAAATATTATTTCGTAGACCAGAAATGTTGAGTCGAACTCATCTTTAAAGGGAAATGTAGAAATTAATTGAACGTTATATCCAATCAAATCAATTTACTCGCTCAATAATTTGAAAAAATGTTTTGGAATTTTTAGTTTAAAGTAGTGGCCTAGCATTGATAATTGCACTAGAAGGAAATGCAAAGAAAATAACAAAATATTTCATTGTCCATTAATTAAAAAAAATCAATATCACCCTCTAAAGAAAAGAGAACAAAACAAGGAATAAATGGCAACACTTTTTTCAACGGCTGTATTTTTTTTTTTTTTTTGAAAGATAATAACGTTAGATGGTACTGTTCGATGTTTGGTCTTGAAAGTCAATTTTTCATATTCGAGCAGAAAACAGAGAATATGGAAAAACAAAAGAAAATGTCAGTTACCTAGTTTTCCCTTAAGATCAAGACAACATCATGCGCTGTATTTGATCGGGAGAAAAAGTTTCCTAACTTTTCTTTTTATTTGAATTTTTTAAAATTATTGATACATTTTCACATGTTAATATTATAATTAAGGGTGTTCATATCCGATCCAATCTAATTGATTCGACTTAAAATGATTCGATTCAATCAAAAATCGATCCAAACCAATATAAAATTGGGTTGGTTCAAATTTTAAAATTTTAAAATTGATATAATTGATTTAATTCGTGGTTTTACTTTCAAACCGCCCGAATTGTCATATTACAAAATAAAATCTAATTAGAAGATAATTTAAGTAAATAATATAAAATATTTTTTTGTAGTATTTTAAATTTTCTTTTTCTTATTTTACAAGATTATAACTCTATTAACTTAATTAAAAAAATAAAAAACTTTAATTCTAAATTTTTAATTCACCTACAACTTTATTCTCTCAAAACTAGTTTACGCCTTTACTCTTAGAACCCTAAATTTCTAATTTATTTTTAAAATAATTTTATGATTTTCTTAACTAAGTTTTAAATAAGTATTATTTTAGAAGCCTTAAAACCATATAATAAAATTAGTTTTAATATTCAACTATTCTTAGATATTTGGTTTAGAAGTTTTAAATTTTGATTTTGAATGGTTCTAATCAATTTTAGTAATATTTATGTTAAATGTTATTCACTTTTAATAGGATTTAGAAAATGTGATTAAATTATTAGTGTATTAAGAAAAAAAAATTAATTTTAACCTTTAAGATTATTTACGCTGTACTAAAAATTTAAAATTATTTTTTATTATTTTTGGTGGCTCTAGTGATATAACGAAGAAGAATTTTCAAAGCTTTTTAATTTTTACAAATATAGAGCAGTATAAGAATTCATTTATAATTTTTACCTTTTATTATATTTTTACTGATTTGGATGTTAATGTATTTTATAGTTATACTTTTTATTTGATATTAAAA